TTAATTGAGTTTATATATAGTACATCCAAAGGCTATATAGCGCAAATTTTATAAAACAACTTTTTTATGTAAAGTTCATAATATTGTGGGCGTTGCATTGGGAATATTTTAATCTTCATAATATGTAATATGTGGCCGAAATATTCTGTTGCATAACATTTTTCGACTCCAACAAGATGCTTACAAGAAATGACAGGCGTAAGACATCTTTAAAATTAAAACATGACAGAAATAAATTACATAACATTTTTATTTTCTTTAAACGAACTCGTTATCGGGTAAAGAAAACAATGACACATAATATACTTATAACATACATATTATGTATTAAAATAAAGTTATAAAAACGTAAAAATAAAAGAGAACGGAAACAAACGAATGATACCTACACAATGTTTAATAGGGTTGCTTTAATTATTTTGGTCAATACATTAACACCGAAACTGTATTTCGATACAACAAAAATATACACACAGCTTTGTTTGCGTGAAATTAGGGTAACTGCAACAAAAAAAATGAATAATGATCTTTTTTTTTGTCCATAATATTACATACGAAACATAAAGTTTTTATAATGAACTATCATCGGGAATACTGTAACTTTCTATCACTGAGAGAATTTTCACAATATCACATAGAGTGGTTGCAGAGATTACCTACATATTATGACAAATAAACTTACAAACAACTTTACCTCTCTGTAATATTAAGTGCAGATTTCCAAATCTATATGATTTGGAAGCAGTTTTTATTTTTTGAACTTGATTGATGATTGACCTTTTTCTTGTATTCGAAACAAAAATAAATAAATACAGTTATATTAAATGATAGTCATTAAAAATACTCAGTCATCCTATTACACCAAAGGATTTTATTTTATATTTTCAGCAAGTCAGAATGCTAGGTAAAAAAATCCATTTTCCAAGTGCACACTCAAGTTACCTACGGTTAACATAAAAAAATGAGCTTCGCAGACGTTTTCCCGCCACTAGTGATGTCAGCATTTGACGGCTTATTAGGCGTCGTGAGAGTCGTTCTGTGGCGCCTGGCGACGAATGCAAACGAAGTAAGGTGAATCACTGAGCGTAAATCATAACGGCGACAATTCTCTGCGAATCATTAATGGCGAATCATTTGGGGCGCCGCGCCGGTGGCGGTTCGTCGTAAAAATTATATCGGCGATATATGAGATTACAAGCGACAGTTATATGACGGGGTATCGGAGGTGCGTTGCCCGCATGGATACGTAATGAGTTCAGTAATCTGCGTGTTTAAAATGGATGTAGCAAACCGAAATTTGTAACGTAAACGAAATCACTTAACTGTATTTAAATTCTGACTACATTGCACATGTAATGAGAATTTTTGATGAAATAATTGTGCGTGTAATTTCATTATAAATTAAAACAATGCGATTTACCATCTAGGGCTTCATCACCACTTACCACCAGGTAGAATTGTGGTCTAGCACTGGCTTATAATAAGTAAAAAAAATATTATTAGTCTTGTGACTTGACTTTTTTATTTTCCATTGCACTTTGGTGATAACTGTAAGTGTAACAAAAATTTAATCAAATTTTAACGTATATTTGAGCGAACCGATCCTGAATGATGATCGTATTTCCCATATCAGTATATTAAATTTAGAATTGATTTTTTTTTCACATACTTATTATAAATAAAATGATTTTATTTATTTTTTATTTATTGTCGGCGTAAATAAAATGTTATATATATATATATAAGGAAAAAAATTGTGCGTATAATTGTGTCACATACGTACGAAGTGAAACTTCTTTACGATATATAATTCATCTTTTATTTTTCATTGTAGGTTAAATATAATAGTATACTCTTGCAGCCCCGGCGGTGAAACGTACAAGGCGTAACAAGAAAACGTGACAGTTTTGATTTTTAATACCGTACTAAATTTCTTCACTACGTCGATTTTATTAAACTTCTTTAAACTCACAAAATAAAATGTAATTTAAAAAAATCATTTAGCTTAGGAGAAATGGTAAATGTGTTGCTCAGTAAAAAACGACAAAAATACTATACCGATAAATTGGATATTCTTTAAATATTGAAATTTGAAAATGTTCCAACTTTGAAAAGACCAGTTTTAAAAAAATTCAATTTGATGATTGCTGAAGCTCTTTCTCCTTCGCATTAGCCCATTGTTGGAAATTTGCCTCTTCATTTAAAAGGAGTATCACTGAATTTGATTTGTATTGATTCTTTTATTAGTATTGTCGTTCCGCCACACTCATTCTTTAGATTCTTTCCAATTCGGTTTATTTTTAAGTAATTTTTAAAATCCCTCAGACCCCACTTACGCTATAGTCAATTTAAACACTTTACCGAACATTTGCTGTGCCTCATTAATGAAATAATTAACAAACCCACTCCTGCTCACCACATACCAATTAACTCGCCGTAACCCGATTAAGTTGTATCAATAATCTCAATGCAATTACATTATTCTGTAACAACAAATGGCACATTTATTGGTAATATGCAAGTGCATTGAAGTTAACGAGCTAATTTCCATATTAATATATGGTTAAATTTCATAACTCTTTAAGTGTATAGGAAAGTAGATGATTGCGTTCAATCAATTAAGTTTTCTTATCTTGCTGACCCAATGACGCCCACATACTCGTATATATTAATAATGCTCCGTTGTCACGCTGTGAAACAATTTGATTTCATTACCATTTTACAGCCTATCAAAAGTGCACGGCCGAACATTGGCCTACCCCATAGATGACCTCATAGGAGGGACATTTGCCATAGTTGGCACGCTTGGCAAGCGCTCTGCTGCTGATAGAACGATTCTACTGCTCATCTAGTATTTATTTCCCTCTCTCGCCTCTTACGACACCCACGGGATATATGGTATAGTGGATATTCTTACACCGCCATTACATGGTAAGAAACAATTTTGTTAGTTATATCCGACAGAGGTACACAAACGAGGAGATGGGCAGCAGCGTCTTGCCAATAATAACTAAAAATAAAAAATAAACTACCGTTGCCAACTGCATGGGCATTTTGAGATAATCTCCGGCGGAGGTCTATGTTCAGCATTGGACTTTTGATAAGCTGTAATGGATGGATGGATGCACAAATTCTTTAAATTACAAAACTGACTAATGTATTTGACATGCACAAGGTTTTATTTAAATTACTTTATTGATAAGCACTAAATAACATTGCCTACACTCCTCCATATTGCACAAACGTAATTACTTGTGACTTGTGCAATTTGTATCGTAAAGTGATATCTGTCACTTTCAGACTGCGAAAGGTGAAAACGGACAAAAACCTGTTATTGACGAATGAAATTCGCGAACGTTACATTTTAGGTAATATCTTTGCTGGTGTTGACTGATTTCGTTACGTATATTAAGGTAAGATGAAAAACATCTGGAAGAGATCTGAACGATTATATATAGTAGTTTCTATTATTCTTTGTAATTAATATTAACATTGAAAATATTTTAAAGAAACCGTAGAGTCCATTATCACAGTAAGCCTTCCAAAGAAATTGTGCATAAGCTCGGTCTTCACAAAGCGAGAGCTTCAGAGAGTGCATTTTATTAATTAAGTTCAAGTACTTACACAAAGTCAGTGCGGGTGCTTAGCCACTAAGCGATCGTTGTAAATTTCAGAGTACATGAGCAACCCGGGTTCGATCCCCGTCGGTACCAATGAAATTATCAATTGCGATATTAAGTGCTGCTTTACCACTTGCTCGGCGGTGAAGAAAAACAACGTGAAGAAATATGCATATCTGAGATATCGAAAAATTAAAAAAAAAATCGAAGATATTATGTGACATCCGCCAACACGAATTGGGGCTGCGCGGTAGATAATCCCTTGCGCTAAACCCCTCTCAAAGTTGAGAATAGGCCTGTGCCCAGGACGTAGCACATAACATATAGACAGTACGTAACCTTGCTTTACTATTTACCAATACAAAAAAATAGCCTTTTAAATTTTCTTTTAATAATTCCCACCTCACTTTAATATAGAAACATTTAAAAGAAACCTAATTTGGTGGAATCACTAAAATTCATCGTTTTAATAAGTTAAAAAAAAGAATTAGATAAAAAAAGAAACAAATATACTCAATTAAGACATAACGACAGAACAACAAATCGTTACGAATTTGTTTGCTTTCGCTCATTTAAATATGTTATATCTACATAGTAGCTATTCTCACTGACAGTTGTTAGACTATTAACCACAGAGTACTTTTGCTATTAACAAGCGTGACACTACGTCAAGGCGTTACGAAATTTTTATTTAGGGCCGATGCGATGGTCCGACAGCAAATATGTGATGCCGGGGTGTTGTCAAGACCGTACCGCCCACACGCGGCCCACTCAGCCCAAGAATTTCGTGAGGCGTAGACATTCACGAGAGAAGGGGAAAGTGCAGCTGATTTAATTGCTTCGAATAGCTGTATAACGATAGGATTAAATTGATACGCTATCGTTCAATCACTTCGTTAGCTTTCCTTTTGGTAGTCATCTCAGAGATAGGTTAGTTACAAACGTTACTAAGCTATTAGCAATGTGATTTAGTCATAAGGTTTTGACACAAAATACGTGATAGGAACGAATCTATTATTTGTATTTATATAAATATTTTGTTTTTATATAAGGGTGACACAACAGCACACAAACCACCTAATGGTAAGTGGTTGCTGTGTTGCGAATCAAAATACAGATAAGTTGTCAGCCGTGAGAAATAAGATGGAATGCCTCTTTTCCAGTAAAAAGGGTCTCCAGTTCTCTACACTCACCATACACAGCAATATTAAGCTGCTATCTTACGCTGATATTCTGTGAGAGCGTGGTCCATCTCCGGTCAAGTCGACCTATTCGAGCTACAACTATACAATTAATATAGCTGTTGCATGGCTTTACCATGCATTGCAGCATGGCTCTAGCACGTATATAAATAAAGATGAAGTAATAAAAACCACAAACCTTTTTGAACGTACTCTGGTGTATCTCCAAGTGTTGCTGCTGTAATGACCGGAGCTTGATGGGCAGAGTAACAACTGCAAGCTGTTTGGACGAGGGTGCCTTTGCTTCTTTGCCCTCAGTTTGACAACTTCTTCATTCTTTTTCGTTTCTTTAATTGGAGGTTTTTTTGTCTCGATACTCCATCGGTTTTTCTCGTCGATTCGACTATCTTCATACTCCACCTCTTCGAGGTTTAAATGATCCAGTTTGTCTTTGATGAAACTTCTAGAGCGCAACAGGTCCGGTGTCAGATCTATTCTGTTTTTTCTTATCTCGATCGGCGATGTAGGCGGTCGTCGAGGTTCGAAAACTACTTTTGAGTACTCGTTACTCCGACGCCACAGACGAGGCGATAAGGGCCAGAAACGCCCGTTGTGCTGCGCCGACTCCATCACCATTTTCGGTGAACGATTCACTTTTAACAATCGCACGTATTTGCACTTCGAATTACTATTATCGACTTTATCGACGCTCTCACGACACTAATTAAAATCGAAGGTAAAATAGAACGACCAGTTGGGCACCGACGACGTTTTGTTTAAAACGTGATCGGAATCGTATAAATCTTCACGTAGATTAATAAGTAGTGCGAGTAAGCAAGTTTATTTCAAACGCGACGTCTGCGACATCCGATGGCAATTCATTCACTAAACAAAGGATGAACGGAAAGTGCATAGTAATATCCCCCCCATATAATCAATAATGCGTAACGCCTACGGCGAATTCCGGATAAAGACTTAAACGATAATACGGATGAATCAAATGATAGTAGGAATACGTAATATATCACATTGCGCATTTGCAAGGAAACGGTTTTATTTGGCTTTTAGACTTAATAAATAAAAAATAATGACAACCTCATGTTCTGTTTGATAATTTCATAAGTAATTTTGTTTTGGGATAATGCGATTGACATTGAAACTATCATTGTTTTGCAGAAGAGACCCATAAGAGCAATTTTTAATATAGGTCCAAAGGAGTATCTTAGAGAAAAATTTAAAGAAATAAATATATCTTTGGCCCCTCATATATATACGAAAATTTAATGTATGTACACAAAGGCAAAAACAGTTTGAATAAAAATAATGATTGATATACATTCTATAAATATTAGGGTCAAGCACAATGTAGTTATACTAGTTACTCGACTTAAAAAAAGTCAGTACCTAATTCCTTCATGGGGCTTTTACTACAAAGTCCCAGAAAATATGCAGAACCCATCTATCCAAAAGTTTAAAATTTACTCCTTTGTGCTACGTCGTATGCCCTATGTACTTCTACATGATTGATAAGCCCTGCGAATGACAAGATCAATTCCATGCTGTTTTTAAATGGATTCATACTTAATTGTATTTTTTTTAATAAGTTTTCTTGTAATCTATACTAAATAAATCTATATAAAAGTGGTGGGCCGCCCTATACTATGTTTACCGGTACGGTGCTGTGAACCTATCACCCTCATGAACCTATTTTCTCCATCGGTCATTTATTCGACCGGCTATTATGTATACATATAACATATACAGTAGCCATATAAAGTGTGAATAATATAAAATCATACAATCAATCTCTCTGCCAATCATAAAAAAAAGAAAGTAAGAAAAACTTGAAAATCGCCGTTTTGTAAAAATTATTTTAGTGTATTCAACTTCATTCGTTGTTAGAAAGACGATACCTAATTTAAATAGTTTTGAAAATTTATAGATGTATAGACATTGATGAAGCCATTAAAGTGGAGGCAGCTATCATACCGTCCTTCTTAGTTGTTACTTATATATGTAAACGCCTACATCTTGGTCCGATTTATGTTCGGGGATCAGTTCTATGATAGATAGTTGCAATGTTCATGTGATCTTGACAGCCAGAACCAAGTATTTGTGGTTGCTTGTTTTATATACACTAACAAGCTAATTATTATAACAGTGGTAACTAATATAATATCTGTTATATATAAGTTGTATATTTGAAATTTATTTATTAATACACTTATGTGATACAATATACAAACCATAAAGTTAACGCAAGTTTTTGACAGTTGATGTCAGTTGTATTTATTTAATGATGACGTTATAAAGTCTATATTACTCTGTGATATTATCCGCGCAATTTTGATCGATTGCGTTAAGAATTGTTCGACGCCTAATTAAGGAATAACATGCAAATATACGTACACATACATTTCAATTTAAATACATAGTTAATTTAGTCTTATTTTTATATGCTTATCTTTACAATATATCTTAGATTATAGGGATCCGAAAATTATATTTTATACACGGTGGAGACACGTTGCAGCGGCATTACAATTGTAGCACAAACGGACCGAGGAAGGAGCACGCTCTCACAAAATATAAGAGTAAAACGAGTGCAATTCTGCTCTGTTTCGTATATTTATAGACGAGAACCAGGTTTCTTTTTACTGGTAACTAGGCCTTCCATTTTAGTCCTAAGAAGTGAAAACGTGTCTGCATTTTGATTCCTAATCGAGGATTAGTGGAGGAGTCTATTAACTACATCATCAACTCACGCCATCAGGTGTACTGTGTGTTCACGTTGTATTTGTATTAAAAAAAAATCATATTTCGTCGTTTCTTATTCTATTCTCCAATATAAGAACGATGACAATGTTTGCCTGATTTCGATAATGATATACTATGGAATAACTTCGGAATACATTGACATATTATTAACTGCGAAGTTCCTATTTTTGACGTCAAGGGTTGTTCCAGACATATTATTTCGAGGGCATGCAAAATGTAAAACAGCGCGGCATACTAACTGCTCCATTATGGCGGTTCTTCACGTTGGCCAATTTAGTGGCGAATGTGTTGGCAAAGATATTAGCCAAGAGTTTGTGATGGCGTCCACACGTTGGAAGGTCGTTCAGTTTGCTTCGGTTTAGACCAATGTGCGGACGAATTTATCAAAATGGATATTGAGGCGCTAACGGCTGCTGCGGTTTATTTATTCACAGCATACCGCTACTACGTGAATGTAAATAATAAAAGGGTGATCAAAAGGAAATGCAAAAAAAGAAATTTAATTTTTTGTGCTCCATAATTAATTTTCGGATTGGTAGAGCTCTATAAAGCGAAAAGTTTCTTCATTGGTCATTGTTACTGCCATTTTGTAGACACTATTTACGATGCGTGAATATAAAGTTTAAATCGGGTGCATGCGATCAGTCTAGGACCTCGTAGCAAACTAAACGTGCGCCCAACGTGTGGACGCGGCGACCAATACTCTGCCACAACCCTTTGATCTTTTGTAAAAATCCGACACCACACGGATCTCGCGCCAACTTGTGGGCCATTATTCCAATACATACCAAGTGAAGCACAAACACCCTCTCTACACGATGGCCATCCATATTGGCCTACACATTTCCCACTATGTTGGCCAACGTGAAGAGCCGCCTTTATACATAAATGAGATTCCTATTGCGTCCAAGTCAAGCAATGGCATGTATTTAACTGTAGCTGAAACTCTTCACCCTTCCAAACGATTCCGACGCAATCACATTTCTTTCTTTTGCCAACTGGTATGTACTTTTTGACAGATTTCCGCTTACATAATAATATTTAAAAAAACCGGCCAAATGCGAGTCGGACTCGCGCACCGAGGGTTCCGAACAAATCCGTAGGCATATAAGTTTAAAATAGTTAAAAATTATATGATAATATATATTATATGATGTAACTAAAAATTTATGCTTTTCGCAATTTTTCCTTTATCTGTACTATAATACATTGCTTCGTACCAAATTTTAAGATTCTGAGTTCACGGGAAGTACCCTGTAGGTTTTGATTCCCTTGCGAATGTCGAAAATTTGCGGCATAAACGGCTGTATCTTTTGATTGCGTTGGCTTAGAAGTTTGTTTTTTCACAGCTCCAAGGGACAGTAGACTTGAGTGTTTGATATGAATTTCAGCTTGATACCTCCACGCGTTCCTGAGAAAAAGGGTCTTGACAGTCTGACAGACTGACAGACAGACAGACGGACAACAAAGTGATCCTATAAGGGTTCCGTTTTTTCCTTTTAAGGTACGGAACCCTAAAAATATAAAACTATAAAATAAATAACTGTGGTAGCTAACCCGCCTGCCAAGCGTGGCAAATATCCCCCGTATGAGTCAATCTATGGGGAGGCCTATGTTCAGCAGTGGACTTAACTGCGTTGTAATGAATGGATGGCACAGCATTTACCATCAGGTGGACTGTGTGATTGTTTGTTACCCTAATAAAAATAATATTTATTCAGAAAAAAAATCAAAACCCTATAAGGCGATTTGATCTGAATCCTATTTTTATATGAGGTACTACATTTTTTTTATAGGATAGGGTGACAAACGAGCACACAGTCCACCTGATGGTAAGTGGTTGCTGTGACCCATAGACAACTACATCTATCCTCGTTTGCGAATCAAAATGCAGATGCGTTGTCACCCGTGAGGACTAAGATGGAATGCCTCTTTTCCAGTAAAAAGGGTCTCCGGTTCTCTACACTCACCATACGAAACACAGCAGCATTAAGCTGCTATTTTACGCTGGTATTCTGTGATAGCGTGGTCCTTCCCTGGTCGAGCCGACCCATTCGTGCTACAACTATATTATTAATATAGCTGCAGCATGGCTCTACCACGTAAAGAAATGTAGTACCTACATATAAGTAATAGTGGGAGGGTCCGATGACAGTTCCGTTTCCTTATCAAACGTTATTATATATTTATTGCTTTAATATATAGATATCAACATAATATGGCAACAGCCTCTGAAATTTTAATTCACAATTTTTTGATTAATTTTCAGTAGTCCGTCATTTGTCACGTTATAATCGATGGGTCCGCAGATGTTCATAGGTGCATCGCCTGCGGACGAGATAGGGAAAAAACTACATATTCATTATACATTTCATGCAACGTTGGTGAGGAATAAGGTAGGATTAGTTGTTATATAATTTATGTAGTAACTTAGTTCGGTTTGGGCAGTATATCAAAGGTACTTTCTTTCATTCCCTAAGCCGTATCCCAAGGGTTACCTTAAAAAACGCAAAAGGCTTTACGACTGAAGTAAAAGTATGGTTATATAAGTAAGTAAGGAAGGACTCTTGATATTATTTACGACACGGCTTGTGACGACTTCTATCAGGAAAATAATTTTTGTTGGATTTATATCGCCTATTTCTGTAAAATGGTCAATGTCTTTTTAATGGTTGGAAATTCAAATACAACTATATTAACCACTAAGAATAATAAACCACAATTTGGTCAAACATGAAATTCTCTCGTTTAGATTTAATATATATAATGCCTGTAGCGTTGGTATAGTGGTCGTTAATGCGGTTGCTGATTATAAGGTCCTGGATTCGAATTCCGGATCGGGCCAAAATCAGTAATTG